CGTTTTTCCTTCAGGCTTCCTCGACCGCCTACCTCTATGAAGGACAGCAGTTGGGTTTTATTCTCCTCGTACATCATGTTGACACATGTTATATTTGGCCAAATCAAGCCACAGTCTGTCTTACTCTTGGCCGTTCTGTTGTCTGGACTTTCGTAGCCACTGACGTCCAACTTTTCCTTCAGCTCATTCTCAAAGCGAGCGAGATCGGCATCCAGCCTTCGGATGTGTTTGTCCACCTGGTGAGAGAAGGCTCACGTTATGTTTAATAATAATACCAAGAACAAAATGAATGTATTTGAATCAAACTATTTCAACACATTAGTCATTGACTATTTATTTATAAGCATCTTTCTGTTTATCATGATTCAGAGAGCAAGAAATACTTTAGTCTAATTTCCTTTTCATTTCGAGTTAAAATGTCAAAACAAAATTGTATTTATTGCCTAAATGAAGTTAAACTAAAAATCATATACATATTTGCATTTATCAATTGCAAATTCTACTCAATTAAATATTTTAGAGCCGAGTATAAAATACAAAAATATATTGAATAAATCTGATTTTTGAGAATACAACAGTTTCTACTCAATGAGTGTAAAATATAGATTTTATATTTACTATAAACCTACTGTATCATTTTGACAATAAAACAGTTTCTGCTCAATTACATATTTTACAGCGGAGTATAAAATAGATCATTGTTTACTATTAAAAAAATTATATGATTTTTGGCAATAAAACTTTTCTACTCAATTTAATATTTTAGAGCCGAGTATATGATACAGAAAATGATATTTACTCTAAAAATGTTAATGATTTTTAACAATTTCTACTCAATTAAATATATTTCAGAGCTGAGTATAAGACACAGACCGTTATTATTGACTATAAATAAAAATTCTATGATTTTTGACAATAAAAGTCTTTACTCGATATTTTAGAGCCGAGTATAAAACACATAAAATTATATTTACTATTAAAAAAAATCTATGATTTTTTACATCAAAACATTTTTTACTCAATTAAATATTTCAGATCTGAATATAAAAATTAACAGAAAATTATGATTACTACAAGAAAAAAAATAGCCTATTCTATGATTTTTGCCAACAATAAACATTTAGAGGCATTTTCAGTATAGCAAATCCTGAAATCACAAATTAATTCACATTAATGAATTAAAAAATATAATAATAATAATATAATTTTTTTTTTTTAGGATTACTAAATTGTAGTTTGATTGTATTAGTTATCTATTTTACAGTTGTAGTAATGTTGTCATTTTATTAGTTTTTTATTATGTCTATATAGGTTTTTTACTTAATTTGAGTTATTTCAGTACTTCAACATACAAAATGGAAATGAAGTCATATATATATATATATTGCATGTATTTATATACATGTATATGTATGTATGTGTGTGTGGCTGTACATACACATGTAGTTGTTTTTTGGTGTTTGGCTTAGTGTTATGTTAGAATCATTATTATACTCTAATACCTTTTGTTCTTTTCATATTTTTTTGCTTTCATTTAAATGTTTAGTTTTGAAATGGCGTTGTATGCATTTGTCATGTTTATTTAATTTCTTTTATTTTCTTAAATGTGTGTGTATATATATATAGTTTTAGCTTTTAGCTTTAATAACGGTTTCTCATTTGTAAGTCGCTTCGGATAAAAGCGTCTGCTGAATGACTGAAAGTAAAGTCAAGGTGAAGAATATTTCCAGGTTTGGTTTTAAAAGTCACTC